TTCTCACGGAGTAGTTTAAACGGATCTGCCGAATAAGGTCTATCATTCTGAATGCGATCACTATCATGTTTGATGAGTGGTCAATTGACAAGTGACGACGACACTACTCCCTACACATCACGCCTACAACCTGCAGGAAGAGAGGAGTGGATCGCTAACCCGCAATCAATGTCTGAGACATGCCAGATCTCCTCGACACTCCATCGTAACCTTACATAAATAGATACAGATAGACCAACGAGTTTCGAATGTCGATCTTAGGCAACGAGGCAGTCAGCTATAGTTGCCCAACCAGGCGAACAAAACAGGCTATGCATACAGATTGCAACACAGTGGTATACCTAGGTACATCGTAGGGTGACGACCCTTATCGAGCCCGAGATACCGTCATGGATGGCCCTGCAAATCATAAAGGTACAAATCCTGCTACCTTACGTACTTACTCCCTTAGTCTAGCCAGAATGTTGATTCCTCATGGCGCCCCACCCCCATTATGGTGGCCTCAGGCCACGAAGTGGGGTTCAAAACTTCAGTACTCCATATGAACGATTGGAGATTCCAGCACCAACATTAGACTCTATTCTCGTCGAAACAGCCTGAGCCTCCTGAATTTCTTTTTGATCTTACGAAAATAAATCACCATGGCCGACGCGGAGCTGGAAGAGGTTGGTACAACAGCTCTGAGACGTTTTTGAACGTCCCCCATCTGGTAGTGTCGGCCCAGTACTAACATAATTCACAGATCAGACGGGCCCGTCTCGCACAACTGCAGCAACAACAAGGCATCTCTCGAGGAGCTGGTGGGGAGAGTCAGGATGAACAAAGAAGGTAGGCGGCGCCAGTCGACCACTTCTCCGTCTCATGTAGCCTTCTTTTATTTCAATCGGCAAATGCACACATGATCGCTAACTCTTTCCTTCGCAGACAAGCTGAAGGTATGCTATGATGACCTCGCGGAACGGAAACACCGGATCCTTTTCCCAGCAACATACTGAACTGACTCGCCAGCTGAACGTCGCTCCGCTATCCTGAACCAAATCCTTGAGCCCGAAGCTGCCGATCGACTAGGACGAATCCGTCTTGTTAAAGAATCGCGCGCCATCGATGTCGAGAACAGGCTCATCATGCTTGCCCAGACAGGGCAAATTCGCCAGAAAGTCACCGAAGAGCAACTCAAAGAATTACTGAACGCCATCGCGGAAAATCAACGGAAGGACGAGGAGGAACAAAAGATCGTCATATCTAGGCGTAAAGGCGGCTGGGATGACGACGATGACCTGCTGGATTTATAAGCGCATCTCCCTGAGAAGAGAAATATTTCCGGCGAATATGCGCCTTTGCATGATAGCGGCCTCTTGCGGATAAACCCCATTCGGATACCTCTACTTCCTCCGATTCTGGGAAAATTTCAAGGCGTTACAACTGGTACTGGCTAATTCATGATTCGACAGTTGTTTCAAGTTTCTCTACACGCTTCTTTGATGCAAGCTAACATAGCGGAAGCATGCAAGCTGTGTATTCTACAAGTTCGAGCAATTTCCTGTTTCCCAGTCATTGAACCCAGCTTGGACTAAGCATGTCAGTTGCTGATGAGTGGTGTTAATTTACGATTCACGATTTACCAAGACAAATACCCGACTGTGAGGTTACTGAACAGCGATCCAGGCGACGGAGACATCCACCGGCAGAGCGAGCTGTCCCTAGCTTCAGCTCTTTGTTCAGTCGATGCTGGCTCTAGTCGCCTGATGTAGTATGAGGCCTTGAAACCAAATGTCCGTTTGCGAAATATCCATCATCTCAGGGTAATCTTCCTCCCTCTCTTTTGAACCTTCCACTGCTTCCTTTTGGTAATACCTAAGTCAGAATCTCTGAAGACTCCTCAAAGACGAGCTCTGTTGATCGGTCACGATTTTCCTTCCAGCCTTTCCTTCTCGCGCTTTTGCTGCTGCCGCATCAATTTCCGGATTTCTCGTAGATCTGGGGGTCTTTCAATTCCCAGCTCTTTCCGAAGCTCGTCAACATCCTTTTCCAAGATCTCCTCCCAGTATACATTGATCAGTTCTTTACTGGCAAGCCCACTGCGAACCGCCCATGGTAGATGTAGCGAAAAGAATCGTTCCCGCTCTGCGGGATTCAAGCGCACGAAGGCAAATATGCTCAGCCCCGTCATGGGAATGAGAGTATTCAGAAACTCAAACGCCTTGAGCGCCAATTCTCCCTCGACAAAGATGGGCAGTCCAGTCACCGCGTGGTAGAAGTCGTGACACTCCCGATAGCGCTGCATGACATATGCGCATTCCTCGTCATCAATATACTTGACACTATCGCGCGTGTCGGGAGAGACTCCTTCCCGATCAAGCCATGTAGCATAGGTACGCCCCACTGAGTTCTCGGGCAAGGTGCGGAGGTAAGGCAGTTTCAGAGTTTCGGAGGTAATGCGGGGTCGGTCACGAAGGATACGTCGGCCCGTGGGATCAGATAGCATTGCATCGCGGAGTCTATATATAAAGTAGGGAGTTGCAGTAGCTTCGCCCAAAGCCGCAATGAGATCTGAACGAGGACGCTGCGTTAGCTTCTCCGGGCATCATAAGTACATAAATGGTTGATGATTCTCAAATGGCGGACACAATCCCTTACCCGCTCTTCGAGGGTTCATAAGCGACCCTACTGCAGAACCAACGGCCAGGGCACCGCGTTCAAGAAAGGTTAGAGGAACATGGCCGGGGTATTTCGGCGGAGGCCTGTTCAAGGCGGAGAAGGACCGAACGAGGTAACTTGCAGTTGCTGATGGTGCTAGAGTGGTCCCTCGAGCAGCAAGTCCTGCCCCGCGCCTCCCGAGGAGAGACATATTGTGAGTTGCAGAGGATTCGATGTCGATGTGGACATGACCCTGTTTTAAATTGAAACCAAAGAATGGTCTGATGCTTCGGGAACTTCTCATATTGCGGAAGAGCTCCGGCTGGCACAAATGGTGGCATTGGGACGCCGTAGGCCCGATAAGCGGTCGATAAGAAAAAAGGTTATCGGCATTGAATTTATCTTGCAGTCTTATCATGAAGGGCTGATCATTTGTTCTTGTTAATCTACGAATCCAGATGCCATGCTAAGATATTATGGTGCACGGGTATTCTTGTGATATGAATCTGATACCCCGATATCTGACCATGTATTAAAAGGCATCGGTCGATAGGACTCGGTAGGACAGGATTGCAGCGAAGCCAAGCCAATCCCGATCTTTCCCTCTTTCTTCGACGCTATTGCATGCAATTGAGTCCTGGAGACCGTCCGGGTCAAACTTGCAAAGATGATGCCAGACTGGTGGCCTGGAGAAGTCCATGATCGTTTCACGGAATGGGCCATCTCTCAAGGAGTCATTGTGAATGGAATTGCTCCTGCGCGCTTCGCAGGCCGTGGTTTAGGAATGATATCTACACGAGCTATTGAAGTATGTCTTGATTAAATAGTGACTTGACAATTGTACTCACATATGGTGAATGAAGAAAGGCGAAGTCATTCTGACAGTTCCACTGAAAGCGATGTTGACAACAAGACGCATTCCCACGTCTTTCAAGCGAAAATTCCCAAAGGATATTTCCGTCCATGCGCTACTTGCTGCTTTCCTGACTATCGGGGACAAAGAGGATCTCCAGAAGTATGAGCTCTGGCGACAGACTTGGCCGAACCGTCAGGACTTCGAAGACAGCATGCCCCTTTTATGGCCGCAGTCTTTACGGGGACCCAATCCGTGCTATGATGACGGCGCCAGTGAGACGAATCTGCTTCCGCCATCGATATCTGGCGCATGGAACACCTTACGGAAGCGCAAAAACGAGCTTGATTATGAGACATCTCACCAGAACCTCCTTGCTCAACAGGAACAGAGATTGCACAAAGCCTGGAGCAGTGTCGTCTCTGTTTTTCCAGACGTAGACTGGGAGAGCTATTCATACAACTGGCTCATTGTCAACACAAGAAGTTTCTACTACTTGATGCCGGGTCAAAAGCCGCCAGAAGATCGAAATGACGCCATGGCGTTGCTGCCTTTTGCCGATTATTTTAATCACTCGGATGTGGAGGTTTGTCTTCTCGTTCCTGACCCGCTTCAAACACGATCATACTTCTCGGCGTTTTGTCTCCTTTCTGACCATTGAAATTTTTGCCCATTTTCACAGGACGATGTAAAGTTTGACGGCCAAAAATATGTCTTCAGGGCAATCAGGCACTATGGTATTAATGCGTCTCAACCCGGCGGACTCTGCTAACAGTGGATAGACTCCGGAGAGGAAATTTATATGAACTATGGTCCTCATCCAAATGATTTCCTACTTGTCGAATGTGAGATAGACCAACAGGTTTCATCGTGCGCATGCCACCTCTAACCTCGATCAGATGGGTTCTACCTCGACGAGAATGGTTCTGATGCGATATACCTTGATGATATCATTTTCCGAGACCTCACTGCGTCCCTTCAGGAGGAGCTGAATTTGCAGCAATATTACGGGTACGTTGAACCCCAAGAAACCTGGAATGTCTTATATTCCATTCTCTAGCTTGCTGCCGTATTGTGCGGATATCAAATGCTCATGGTTGTGAAATTTCCAGCAATTATGAGGTTACCGCCACAGGTGCCTGCTATCGAACCGAGATTGCTGCTTGTCTGAAATACATGACAAGAAGAGATTGGCGGAACTATGCCATTGGTTATTCGACAAAGAGCTCCGACGCCCAGAAATCTAATGCAATCATCCAAGAATGGATTCGCGCATACGCAAAGGAAGCAGACACTACAATCGCCGCTCTGGAAGCTCTTGGTTCCAAAGAAATGGATCAGAAGTGCAATGGGAAAGTGAGCACGCTGCTTAGGCGTTGGGAGCAGATCAAAGCTCTCTGCGACAAAGCTTTGAAAGCGCTATCCTGCTGAAGAAGCGAGGTCCTGCCAATGGCGGCCCACCTCCAGCGCGAAGAACGACTAGATTTCATAATCTAGTGCCAAGCGCTGTTCATAACTTGGAGCCGTTCAAAACATCGATTGGGATAGCTCCGGACACTCTTTGCTTCACCATTTGTTGTTTGGCGAGCACCAGATGCTTGACCATATAATTAACCGCGCACTTGATGCCAAGCTCTTCCCCCCTGCGCACTATATAGCCGTTTATATATTCGATTTCCGTGGTTTTCCCAGATCGCACATCAGCCAGCATGGAGCTGGTGTTCTTTGCAGTCTGGTTCGCGAGCTTCGTCACCATCGATCGAAGCCGCTCTGGTGCAAAGCGGTTCTCAATGCCAGGAATCCCTTGCAGTTCAGGCAAGGCGCAGATGACACTCGAGATCTCGATGAGGAGCATACGCATCACGCGGGTGAAGCTATAGTTGTAGAGAATCTCGCCATTCTCACAGTCCATCAGGGCTGTAAGGGGATTAATGATAGCATTCAATGCCAGTTTTTCAAGTTGATATAGTAGAAGGGACGAAGGGGTTTCGGCGACAGCCACGAGCGGCGGCGTGAGGGTCAATGTACGTGTCAGGTATTTCGTGCTCGGTGCCCAATCCGTATCCTTTTCATCCTTTGATGGCAAGACATCACCCGGCAAGACAGGACTGATTATAGTAGTTCCGATACCTGTATGAGTAACATGGAAGGCGTCCCTTTTACGTGCCAAGCCATGCGAAATGATGCCACACATGTAATGTGGACGTTGATGCGGGTCAGGGAAAACTTTCTCGTTGATCTCCTCGATGGTGCCCATGCCATTCTGCAGAAGGAGCACAGTGGAGTCAGGGGTTAAGCGGTGACTGACAGATTCCAGGGCTCTCGTAGTCATCGGTGCCTTGACCGCAACAATTAAGCATTCGATATGTTCATCATCCTCCTCCGACTGGGAAAGAGACTCTTCCACGCCGGCTTCCAGATTTTCTTCTGTGACGCTATCACCATTTGTATTGGGCTGGCCATTCTGATTCCAATACGGTAGCGAATACCAAGTCCGCTCACTCAATACGTTGACATCAAAGCCCGTCTTGATATCATCGAGGCCGTTTGTATTGACCGCTAAGCACTTCTTCCTTGCTAACCAGGCCCCATAAAGATTCCTACTATGTAGCAAGAGGGTAATAGGAGGCGGAGATGGCCGACTTGCAAGCGAATGAGCAACAAAAGTCCCTACATTCCCAAGGCCCAAGATGTGTATTCGGCCCGAGAGCTTGCGCCTCCCGCTCTCACGGGATGCTTCATCAGCTTCATGCATCCATGTCGATAAAGCTCGACGAACTGGCGCTCCTCGAGAGTATAGCCGTGTAAATATCTCTACTTCGCAAAAGCCAGTCCGCAAGAGCGGACGGCGCCCGAAAACGTACAGCGACACTTTGACGAATGGGAGGGCCCTGCAAGCGAGTTCGGTTGCTATCTCTCAGATGGGAGAAGGGTGAATTGAGATCGTTTCACCTGCTGCTCATTCTTCTCCCATTGATTATGATTGGTGACGCGCCTCAGCTTCAGTAGCTTTGAGAGGCCCTTCTGAGCTAATAATAATAATAATGCGAGAGTAGAAGCATGAAGATAACGATGATGGTCAAAAAGTAAAGGATGAGGCAAGAGGGTCGTCACCGCCAGGTTCACCGCCTTTAGATAAAAAAATCGCCGTTATCCATCGTGATACCAAAAACGTACTGATCTTGCATTTGCAACTGTATCCCACAAGATGGAGGCTGCCGACCTATTACCGCTTCTTGAGCAATTGGATGATAATGTTGACGATTTGGAAGAGACCCTCAAGCCAATTCTGGAGAGTCCTGTCTCCGAGACATCGAACAAGCTCCCGGTTCTAGACAAGGCGAAATTTCACGTCTTGGTTACCTACGCTTTGGAATCTCTCATATTCTGTACGGCTCTCTGACTCATTTCTACCTTTTCAACCTTGCTAATGGAGTGATAGCTTATCTGCGTCTTCATGGCGTCAATGCAAAGGAACACCCTGTCTTCCGAGAGCTTACTCGCGTCAAGCAATACTTCGGAAAAATTCAGGCGCTAGAGACTGAGCCCGAGCAGCGGACTATGACTCTTGACAAAGAGGCCGCTGGTCGCTTTATCAAACACGGCCTTGTATGTCCCGTCTTGATTTCCTTCTCTTTTTTGTCAGACCTTGACCTTGGACACGTACTAACTTCGTGTAGGCCGGGAATGATAAACTAGATATGAAACGCAAAGAACAGGAGGCGAAAGAGAAAGCGCGCGCTCAACTAAAAGCAGCACTACTAGCTAAGAAAGCTGCGGCATCTGAGACATCTTCCAGGAATCATACGAGTAGCTCGGACGCGGAGTCAGAACCTGATAACGAGGAGTCGGACAACGAGGAGTTTATGATTGCAGGGTCGGAGCAGATGACAATGCCTGTGGAAACAACACAATCCGAAAACACCCAAGAGGGGAAAAAGAAGAAAGACAAAAACAAGCATGAGACTTCCAAGGCCGCCAGGAAAAGGAAGAAGCGAAGCAAGGAGGAGCAGCAAGAACGAAAGAAAGAAAGACGGCAGAAGAAAATGGAAGCTCGAAAGGCCTCAAAGGCAAAGTGAGAAGAGGTGGGATGATGACTACAATCGCAACATGACTCCTTTCATCTCGGTCGGCCGGTCCGACCTCAGTGCCCATATTGAATCTCAGCAGTTGCATCGTTAGCAGAGCCTACCTAGGCTGTCAGTCTGGCAGTCCCTCGACTGCCCTGCTAATCTGTCTCATCACATCGTCGTTGGCAAAGTTGGCAGTAAGGGTGCTGCCGTGAGCTTACGTTTTATAGAGTTACAACGTGGCTGCTAAGGACTAGCAACGCTATATGCGAAGAGCATAAGCACTCTAGCTACGTCACCGAAGGGGTTCACCAGGCACAATTACATGGCCTATGCCATGAGTCAGAATTAGGTACTATCCGAATAGACCATTCTATACCTTATATTTGTGATATTACCTTCCCTGTATTGCCTTACCATACGTAATTTATCATACAACCCGTGACACGTGATGCTTCATTTTGCCGTAAAATGATTACTAAGCCAGGGACGCAGCCAATCAGCAACTGCATATGTGGCAGCTGCATCGGAGTTTGTTCTCTCTCCGCCGACGCATATTCGAGGTTCTTCTTTCCCGGCGCCTCCATCAACAACATATAAAAACCAACAACTTATCAACCTTCCCACCGCAGAATCGGTTTTTATCAAACTACACCTTACCTTTCCGCCTTTCCAACACATATACACAACCAAAATGCCTCGTCAACGCCGTGGTGCCGCCCCTGCGCCTACCCCTGCGCGCAGCGCCCCCAGCAGACCTACCGTCGCTCCCGCAAGACCGGCTGCTGCCCCCGCTGCTCAGCATCACCAGCCTCACTCCACCGCTGCTCACCCTCCTGCCCAGGCTCAGCAGGCCCCTCCTCCTATGGCCCCTGTTCAGCAGAGCTCTGGCCCCGGACTTTTCGGCCAGATGGCTTCGACCGCAGCGTAAGTTACCCGGACATCCGTGAGATCCTCGGCTGTGATTCATTCTGGTGGCAACGTCCCGACGAGACGTGCCGGGAACTTACGTCGCCAGATTCTGCGCTGAGGAATATTTTTCGTGCATGGAAAGACGTTGACTGACTGATCTCTTTCTAGTGGTGTCGCCGTCGGTTCCTCTATCGGACACGCCATCGGCGGCCTTTTCAGCGGTGGTTCCTCCAGCAGTGCCCCTGCTGAGGCTCAACAGGCTGCTCCCGCTCAGGCTCAGCCTATGGACAACGGACTGTGGCAAAGCAGTGCCACCAACAGCTCTTGGGAGACTCCTGCTTGCGAGACCGACGTCCGCAACTTCCGCAAGTGCCTGGATGAGAACCAGGGCAACATGACCATTTGCGGATGGTACCTTGACCAGCTGGTATGTTGATGCCATTATTGTATGTGTATATTGAATAGTGCTAACAACTTGATACAGAAAGCCTGCCAGGCTGCTGCTAAGCAGTACTAAGCGACTGCGCTTGTTCTCGCATGCTGTTACATTTTCTTTGGATAAATGACATCAACTTTGGCTGAGCTTACGGCTCTGGCGCAAGCCTGGCTAGGGTTGGGATGGATGTCGACGATTTCTCTTTGCATGGCGGCGTAATAACTTTACTGTATACCATTCTCCCTACAGAGCCACATCTGTTCTTACGAACTTCTTGTCTGCGTCTATGCGACTCATTGGGCCGAAGACGCTGGAGAAAGCTAGAAAAAAAGTTGAAAAAAAAGGAAACCAATGTGATGAAATTCCACTCTTCGAACAGATACCACTTTTTTCACCATAGCTGAGTAGCATGATGTAGCATGATAGTGCAATATACAACGGCTCCTTGAAGCGTAGGTTTGATTATACTGACATAGAACTTTGGGTATAATGGGAAGTGAGTCCTGGACGAGAGTAGATATCCATCTAGCGGCCCAACAGATTTTCAACCGTTCAGAAGCAAGTGGGAATAGACATCTGCGGATTGCCATGCAAGATAGACAATATCAAAATATTAGTGACATAACCGTAACGCCATATATAGGACCCGAATCAATCCAATTATTGCCCATCTGTATCTCTCCGAGGCTCGAAGTTCAGCTGGAGACAAGTAAGCCTACTTGTCAAATCTAGTCTCGTATTCTAACGAGTGACGACTTACCTGATTCCCATTGTACAGTTGGCTGTCATTCTGCTCTTCGCGTTGATCTCGCAATGTTCGAATCCTAGGACCTCTGGACGCAGCAGGCTGTTGACTCCGTGCTCCATTTCCGGAAGACGAACTAGTGGTGGGAGCAGAGCCCGAAGACTCTGAAGGAGCCGGGTTATAGCCGATAAAAGATCCCACAAGGCCCGTCGCGGTGCCGACTGCAGAGGAGAGCAAGCCGTACGCGGAATATGCAGCTCGCACGGGCAGGCTAGACCCTGACGAGTTGTATGCCTCTGTATACGAGTTGATGGGGATCATCACAAGGTTCGCCGTGGATCCTAGTCCAAGATCTTCGAGTGTACGTTCTTCGTCGGCGATAGTGAGCGTTCGGCTGGGCAGGGGTGTCAAGATATGCTTAAGGTTATATGGGCGTTTCTCATCCTGTAGTAGACCGTCAAGCCACGGACGTACATCTCCACGGATAGTCTGTGTTGGTGCAAAGCTGTTGCGCACTGAGCTTCCATCAAATAATCGGACTTGTAGACGATATTGCTTGGGAGGTGATGGTTGGCGCGGTGTCGACGCTTCTCTTGAAGGACCAACACCCGATCCGGTGTCGGCGGCGGGAGACGATAATGTGTCCTTTTCAGGCTCGACGATACTTTGCTTACGGATATTGGCGACGTATTGCCGAACTTGTTGCTCTCTCTTCGACTGTTGGTTTTTCCGCGTAGGTTGAGGAGCACGATCAGAACCAGCTGCCTTCGCAGGCGCTTCTTGGGTTTGTTCAGGACTAGGGTCATGGTCTTGCTGGTGATGCTTCGGTTGTCGTGTTCCGGAAGCTTCTGGCTGGCCCTTCTCTGTTTCTGAGAGCGCAGATGTAGGTGTGGGCGCAGGTTCAGCTGTCACTGTTGGTGCAGGAGCGGGAACAGGCGCAGACGCAGAGGACGATGCTGGAGAGGGACTGGAGGTATTTTGAGGAACATTCTGCGTGGTAGATTGAGTGTCATCAAGAGCAGCCCTTAGCCGACTGCGAAAGTCGTCCTTGGATATTTCAGGCACAAGGTACTCTCGCAACAGCCCATTCCTGCAATCCATTCAGATCAGTGAACTTGTTCGCAACCAACACACCGGTAGAGGTCACTCGTACTTGATCACAACAACTGCGGGAAACCGGACAATTGGACAAAACGACGTCAGGAATCCAGCTTCATCGCTACCCTTCGTGAGTCGTAGCAAAACAGATCGCGTCTCGAGTAATCGTGCGAATTGCTAGGTAGATGGCATTTCGTTAAGAAGCCATACAACAGCGATCACCATCATCGAGGGATTTACCTCGTCATCCTTGAAGTATTCATCCTCCCATACACTACTAGCCTCTTCGTCATCTACATTCATCCCCGTCGATCAGCATGCGACTCCGAGCGATAGTAGCATCATATGTAACGCAGATGCGATCATGGCGGCCGTGCGGGGAATGACAGACAGACCTCGAACGAAGCAGACCACAGCTTTCCCCTCCGTGACAGCAAGGGAGATTCCTGCCTGAAGACCCCCGGAGTAGAACATGATGGTCCTTAATTCTCTTCTTTTGTGAACTGAGTATGGTTGTTTATGTGTCCGCAAGCGAGCCAAACCACGCCATATGGCCAGCACAGCTCGTCGGGGAAAGTCGTCGATCTCCGCCGATCACGGGTTCCTCTCTAGGGTCCTAAATGTCCGTCCCGCATTTTCTCCTCATCATCCATTCTTTAAGCAAAGCACCAAGGTCGACTGCAGAGGCCGCAGTTCGATCAATCATGCGGTCGATATTCTCCGCTCTCCAGCAGACGGCAGCTACATCATGGCGGTCACAAATTGCATCTGTTCGGAGTTCTCGCGCAGTGTTCGAGCTTGATTCAATTTGCGCCAGATGCCGCCGTCAACAAATTCGTTTCTCCAGCAATAGGCAGCTTGCGGATGATCCTAGATGGCTGTCTGTAGTTGATCATCCTGCGCAGATTGTACGCACGGGACGCAAACATGGGCCTGGCTTGATCATCCTAGGTACGGTTGCACCTCATACGACGCGGGATGTTTCTGGGAGCATCCTCTGTGAATAAAAGTTTATTGGCTAATTACAATTGACTTGCTACAGCGTTGATCCCCGTCACGGCATTTATCCTAGGCACCTGGCAGGTTCAGCGGCTCGATTGGAAGACGAAGTTGATTGCGAAATTCGAGGATCGTCTCGTGAAGCCTCCGCTCCCGTTGCCGCCGCGTATTGATCCAACCGCGATCTCAGAGTTTGATTACCGACGAGTCTATGCTACGGGTCATTTTAGACATGATCAGGAGATGTTGATCGGGCCCCGCATGCGCGAAGGACAGGAAGGCTTCATTGTGGTCACTCCACTAGAAAGAGGCGAAGGGGAAAGCACGATCCTTGTGAACAGAGGCTGGATTTCGAAGAAGATGATGAACAAGAAAGACAGAGCCATCGGGTTACCACAGGGCGAGGTAGTCGTCGAGGGCTTACTGCGAGAGCCGTGGAAGAAGAACATGTTTACTCCAGACAACAAGCCGGAGGAAGGCAAATTCTACTTCCCCGACGTCCATCAAATGGCTGAACTGACGGGAAGTCAGCCGGTTTGGATTGAACAAACTATGGGTAAGCATATTCCTAGCAGTCCGAGCAGGAGTTCCCGACCCGACTGACTCTGAATCTCCCAGTGCCGGACATGGTTGAATCGATGGACAGAGAAGCCAAGGGTATTCCCATCGGCCGCGCAGCTGAGGTAAACCTGAGAAACAACCACAGCCAGTACATCTTCACATGGTAAGTTTCCATGCGCGCGAATGTTTTCGCACTCGAGCTTAGCCTCCTTCGGCTCCCGACTCTAGTTGCTAATAATCAGCAGGTACGGCCTGTCGCTGGCAACATCAATAATGTTGTGGATGGTCATTCGCAAAAGGCCAAATGAGGCCACTCGTCGAGTCGTCCAGAATCGGAACTGGTCGTAAACTCTCGATGTGTCATCCTCATGTGCATTGTCCGACGGCGTTCGGCTCTGTCCTTTTTTGAGATCCTGTAGTATATATCCCTGTTCACGGTGGCATCGCCAATCTCATGTCCTGCTGCAGCTCTTTTGGCAAATGCTTCTGCGCAAGAGAGAAAACGGTAGTGGCATTGTTGATGTGCCGTTGTCTAGCAAATCAGCATCCTCCTGATGCCATAATCGAGGCAATCTCACTCACCTTCTCAACAAAGTCGTAACATCAGTTTCATCAATAGTTTTTCGCCCTGCATGCTTAGAATATGCTGCCAAGTCTTCGCTGACTTGCTCAAAATACCACGCGGATGCTTGCTCTATAGCAGCCAAGGTTGCTTTGCTTATCTTGGCCTTGGATCCGGCCCTTGCACGGGCAAACCGAGTAGCTAGCTTTCGAACTACTCCCATCGGCATATTGGGTACAGGAATCCCATGGCGTGAGAGTTTCTTCTGTTTGGCACCTGGGAGCACGCTGTCTTCGTCTCGCAATCCCCCTCCGACGAGCCCTGGACTTTCGCTCAGGGAAACTCGTGATGGCATATTGAGCTCAAGACCAAAGTCGCCAGCGACACCGCCCACATCGCCATCGCTCATGTCTGATTCTGCACCTATCTCTGGCCCGAGATCGACCGGAGGGAGTTCAAAACCTTCATCATCATTCAAAGGTTCGTCCTGCATCAGATCGCCCTCTCCAGGAGGAGGTGGAGATGGGAAGTTGAATTCGAAATTGAAACGCCCAAGATCCTCCGTTTCGCCTCTGCACCATAATTAGCTGGGTCGAGATGAACAATAAAAGCGCCCTCAACCCTCACCCTCTGTCAAAAGCCCCCTGGCTGATCATTGTATCGTCCGGTCCATCTCCTTCCATGCCCGTATCATCGTCCTCGCCGCCTTCAGAACCGCTCCCCAGCCTGGTCGAGTCGCCGAAGTTCTCGCTTAGTCGTGGGTTACCGTAGCTCATCATAGATAGTCTTGCTCTGTCATAGTCGCTAGTCGCTCTTCGTGGGTACTCAACGGATGTATGTGTGATGTCTTCCTCGTCGAAAGCTAACGACAGCCTAGGTGGACGCATTTCGGGACTGTCTTCATCGACCTCTTCCACCTCCTCCAGAGGTAGAGAGAGCCTCGGCCGTTCCAATTCCGGTTCATTGTCGAGTTCCTCGATCTCATCCTTCTCCTTTTCTGGTTCCGGTGTCGGCTCCAGTTTCTCCTGCGGTGATGAGCGTATCGGCTGAGAAACAGGGGCAAGAGCTAGTTGAAAGTCAGCCATGACTTTGCGAATTCCTGTAATTTTTCAATCTTGATCGTGAGCACGCGTACCCTTTCCAAGATTCCGCAGAATGTCAAACGTTGTCTCTCTCTGAATTCGCCCGCTCTTCCTGCGATCGCGTCCCGGCGTATTGGCCGCGCGCCGCTGCATCGCGCGAAGTCCATAGGGCGTCGACGGGGCATTCGTAAGCCGTCTTCCAGGTGTCCATCGAGAGACTGGTGGATTGGCAGACGGGGTTGTCGACCCTGCTAGACGGCTCGGAGTGAGGGGATACCTCGTGTGAATTGGGAGTCGTTGAAGCTAGCAGTCATTTCGTTAGGCTACACCGTCAAGTATCTAAGAGTTGACTAACCCTAGTGGCTGTTGTGTCTCCCGCCGGAGTATTCACGTTTGAATCAGAAGCTGCCGCATCGGGCGACGGCCGGCGGCCGTGCGGTCTGGGAGTCGCCGACATCTATAGCTCTCGGGGAACAAGAGGATCAATCGACCGATCCTAAACAATTAGAAGAGTCGCGCAATATCAATCCCATTCAACGGAAAAGTTGATAATTATCCGAAAGAGTATAGAGCAATCGATATCAAGTACACGGTAGACGAGGGGTTTCATATGATGATCGGGCGGAGCGCGTCTTGAATCACTCACGGGTAGGTACCCTAGGCCGGTTTCTGATTGGCTTAAGCTTATCGATAAGAACTGCTGACTCAGCATAAAAAGTTGTGATCAGCAGAAAGCACCTGAATGCGACAAGCAAGAGTCCAGGATAGTCGCTCTATCGTGCCGTTGAAATCTTTGGGGAGTTGCACATATACCAGTGTACTCTTTGTCTTGCAATGTCCGACGTTCCCCCGAACCCGCCCGGCCTCTCGGCCAAGGTGAACAAGAAGCGCAAGAGACAGGCGGAGGAAGCTCCCAAGGAAGTTGAACCTACAGCTGCCAAATCGACCAATAATAATGCCTTGGAGGCGGCTGAGGGCCCTCAAAAGAAGAAGAAGAAGAAGAATTCCAAAAACAAGCAGAAGCAACAAAAGAAGAAAGAGCAGGATGAGGATCCCAAGCAACAGGAGCGCAAAGGCGGCATCGACGAGTCTATTGGCAAGATGGACGGTCGGTTGCTGGCTGATCACTTTGTCCAGAAGGCGAAGAGACATAACAAGGAGCTTACCGCGGTTGAATTGAGTGATCTGAGCGTCCCAGGTATGGTTATATACATCTTGCTCGGGCTCGAATGCAATTAAACTGACATAACGGTCTAGACTCGGCATTCCTCGACACGTCTTCTTTCGAGTCACCCAGATCGCTAGACCAGCTCCCTGCGTTCCTCAAAGCTTTCAGCCCCGACAAGGGATCCGGACTCGCAAAGGCATCGGAGCAGAAGGGCACGCCGCATACGCTAGTGGTATGCCCCGCTGCGCTTAGAGCAGCTGATGTGGTGAGGTGGGTAGACAAGACATACATCGATGTCCTGGGATGGGACTGATTAGATATTCTAGGGCTCTCCGTACGTTCCAAAGCAAGGATTCGACAGTCGGCAAGTTGTTCGCAAAGCACATCAAGCTCGAGGAGGCAAAACAGTTCTTGCAGCGCGCACGGTATGCTCACTACGATATCGGCCTCAATTGACCGTTCGTCTGACAATTATACAGAACAGGTCTTGGAGTCGGAACCCCGGCCCGGATTTCGGATTTGATCGATGCTGGTATGTCTTGTTCCTCCCTGGACTGCCGTCTGTATGTCTTGTTCGAACCGATACTAATGGAAACAGGGAGCCTCAAATTGGACGAACTAGAGCGCATCGTGATTGACGGATCTTACATTGACCAAAAACAGCGTGGTATCTTTGACATGAAGGAAACGCATCTCCCACTCCTTCAATTGCTCACTCGCTCCGAGTTCCTTGAACGATATGGAGCGAAACAGAAGCGGATTCAGATTCTGGTATTTTAATTGAAGTATTTACTGTCTATGGCATTGGCGTTGCTGTTGGGGCATCTGTGCATTTCAAAGGTATGCATGTTTATATTATTTCGTGCCATAAGTTCTATGCACTTGTGTAGAGTTGATGCGTACTACAAATGGACACACTGCAGAGTACACATACTTGGAACAACTGACTGCCTGAAATTTAAGGCAAGTCTCGGTGGAGCCACAGCTCTCACCGCCATAAACAACCGCCCGGCAAAAAAGTAAATTTCCCTTTTCCGCTAAGCTTCTGGGCAGTAATTTTCTAGACTCAGAATTCCCATTCTTGTTTTGCCGTCGAGCCCTG